GCGCGCTCGAGCGCGCGCGTCGACGCGCGCGCGACGCGTCGAGCGACGCGCGCGCGATGCCGGGCGCGGAGTTCGTGGACGTGGGCGTGAACGCGCTGGATTCGATGTTCGATGGGGTGTATCGAGGTAAACGCGCGCACGAGGGTGACATCGCGCGCGTGCTGCGACGGGCGCGTTCGAGCGGGGTGCGATCGATCGTCGTCACCGCAGGGACGCTGGAGGAGTCGCGGGCGGCGGTGGCGCTCGCGCGGGGACGAGAAAAGGAGGGAGGGGACGAACCGAGGGTGTTCGCGACGTGCGGGACGCACCCGACGCGATGCGGAGAGTTTTTGCGTCACGAAGACGGCGGTGCGGATGGATACATGCGGGCGCTGATGACGATCGCGATGGATGGAAAGCGCACGGGGGACGTGGTGGCGATCGGAGAGCTCGGTTTGGATTACGATCGGTTGGAATTTTGCGACGCGGAGACGCAGCGGATGTTTTTTGAGAAGCAATTCGCCCTGAGCGAGGCCACGGGATTGCCCTTGTTCTTACACATGCGCGCGGCGTGCGACGATTTCATGACGATCGTCGAACGGAATCGTCACAGATTCACCGCGGGCGTCGTGCACTCGTTCACCGGAACCGCCGAGGAGGCGCGACGCGTCCTGGCGTGCGACGGCTTGTACATCGGCCTCAACGGATGCTCGCTCAAGACGGAGGAAAACTTAGAGGTCGTCCGAACGATTCCACTCGATCGCGTCGTCATCGAGACGGACGCCCCGTGGTGCGGGATCAAGCCGACGCACGCCGGGCACGCGTTTACGACGCCGCTCGCCGAATGGTCGCCTCCGACGAAGAAGGAAAAATACAATCCCGATCGTTTCGTCAAGGACCGCTGCGAACCGGCGCAGATCGTGTACGTGGCGCAAATCATCGCCCGCGTCACCTCCCGCACCGTCGAGGACGTCGCGCGCGTCACGAGCGCGAACGCCGCGCGCGTCTTCGGCGTCTGACGGCGCGCCGTTCGACGACGCCCGCCCGCCACGGGTCATCCCAGCGAGTCACGGCGGGCCCGACGTCTCCGAATCCGCGCGCGCGTCGTGGGTGTTCTCGTCGTCGCGCTCCCGCGCGCCGCCCGCGTGGCTCGCGTCCGGGCCAATCCCACACATCCCGGTGGGCCAATCCCACACACCCGGGTGGGCCAATCCCGCACACCCGGGTGGGCCAATCCCGCACACCCGGGTGGGCCAATCCCACACACCCGGGTATCTTTCGCGCGCAATCCGCGAACCGGATCACGTCGCGGGTGTCGGTCCATGTATAATAACACAAAAACCGCCATCACGCGCACCCACGACGACCGCCAGCGCAGGCACGCGCGCCGCACGATTAATCCAAACGTCGTCGTCGACCCCCCCGACGCGCGCGCGCGTTCGACACACGCGCGCGCGGGCCTCGCACGCGCACGGTATTTTTCTTCCCCGCTTTCACCATGCGCACCGCCGCGCGCGCGGTCGCGCGAACGCCGAACGCGACGCGAGATGCGCGCGCGCGATCGTCGCGCGCGGGAACGGTCGCGCGCGCGACGACGAGCGAGACGCGCGTCCTCGCCGTCGTCGCGACGGTGGCGTCGAGCGCGATGGAGGTGAAATCGGCGTCGGCGGGCACGGTGAGCGATAGGCTGGCGGCGGTGTTGGACGCGGCGGACGTCGCGGCGGATGGCGCGGCGGATGCGTTCGACCGCGCGATGGGGGTCGCGAATCGCGGCGTGGAGCTGTTCAACGAGACCGCGCCGGTGGTGACGCCGTACATCGACCGAGGGTTGAAGGCGGCGGCGCCGATCGGTGACGCCGTGGGGAAGTACGCGGGGCGAAACGTCGTGCCGGTCGTGAACGAGGGGCTGAAGCAGGCGAATTCGGTCTCCGCGCAGGCGTACAAGGAGGCGTACGCGCAGCTCAAGGCGCAGGGCGTGGACGTCGAGCCGATCGCGAAGGGGTTGAGCGATGGCGTGCAGACCGGTGTGGCGGCGGCGGTGCCGGTCGCGAAGCAAATCGGCGACTACCTCACGAGCGCGACTCCGGAGGAGCTCGCGACGACGGCGGGCGAACTCTTCTTGGCGTACCTCATCGCGCCCGTTTTCTTCAAGATCCTCGGTGACATCGCTCGAGGATACAAGGGCGACTTACGCCCGATCGAGGCGTACGATATGCTTCTCTCCGAAAACGCCGTCGTCGTCGACACTCGCGGCGCTGACGTCACCGTCGCGCTTCCGGGCGGCGCCAGGAAGCGCGTGCTCGTGTGCACCATCGAGAAGTCTGGCTTCGGCTCCGCCGCCGCCAAGGTGAACGCGCTCAAGATCGCTTCCCTTCGCGGTGTCGGTAAGGGCAAGAAGGTGATCATCCTCGACCAAAACGGTGGCAACGCCAAGGCGCTCGCCAAGGCGCTCGCCAAGCAAGGATTCGGCAACGTCTTCACCGTCAAGGGCGGCTACAACGCCTGGTCCCGCGCCGGCTTGGCGACCACTAACGATCGTTAATCGTTTAGTGACTGTACACACCACGTCTACGGCGATGATCGTCGAGACAATTCGATTCAAGCTCTCGTGAGAGACGCGCGCTCGCGCCTCGCTCTCAGGATAATAACACTCAAGACGCGCGGCGCGCACTCCCTCTCTCCGTCTCCCCCACATCGTTCGCCCGCGACCGCATCGCATCGTCCCACATCTCCCGTCTCGTCGTCCACGCGCGAGCTTTCACGCGTGTTCACGTCGTCGTTTCCATCCCCGCGTCTCTCCGCGCGTCGCGTCCATCCCAGTCTCAACCGTCTTCTCAAAACGCGTCCGAGGGTGTCCCGACCCGCACACGCGGACGCGTCGTCCACCTCCCGCGCGCGATGGGCCCGACCGCGCGCGCGGACGAACGCGCGACGTCGTCGTCGTCTGCGGCGGCTCGTCCCGCGCTCGACGCGGCGCGGTGCGTCGTTCGAGTGTCGGACGCGCTCGAGCGAGTGATGGGCGTGACGCGCGACGACGACGCGCGAGAGGCGCTGGCGGCGGCCACGGCGGAGGTCAAGGCGCTCGCGCGATGCATCGCCCCCATGGCGATGTCCGAACGCGATTCGACGGCGAAAGCGAGGGAGACGGCGACGTGGGAGGCGAACGGGGACGCGCGCGGGAGAGCGCTCGCGCGGCGGGTGGAGGCGTTGGAGCGCGCGTTGGCCGAATCGAGAAAGAAGCGAGAGGATCTGGAGCGCGAGGTGGGGGCGGAGAGGAGTGCGTGGATGCGGGAGGCGAAGCGTGAGCTGGACGCGGCGTTGAGACGGGTGGAGGCGTCGAGAAATGGGGAACGGGAGCGGGCGCTGGAGCGCGAGACGCGCAGGCTTCGGGCGGCGAACGAGGAGATGAGAGCCGAGGCGCTTGAGCTGGAACAAGAGCTCGTGCGGTGCGAGAAGGCACGACGACGGTTGGAGAAGGAGAACGAGCTGTTGGTAGATGCGACGCGGGCGGCACGGAAGGAGTTCGAGAGGCGGGACCGGGAGGCGGCGTGCGCGAGCGCCGCGAGACGCGCCGCGACAAACGCGGCTACCGTCGCGATGGCGACGTCGCCGGGACGGACAAAAACGACGAACGGTCAGGGAAGACTCGCACCGTCGCCGTCGCAGTTACCGGCTTACCTTGGGTCGCCGTTTGGGGGCGTTCGAACACGCGATTAGAGAGTCGTTGTATTTCAGACGGAATCAAACAAAGTTATAATTCCTGAGCACCTGTGTTTTCCAAACACGTTCTTCGAGCTTCGCGAACGCCAGATACTCATGGGAAATATTTTAAGCGGAAGATATTGCTTTGTTTTTAACTTAACGATGCGACTACAAATTCTTACTTGTGCGACGAGGCCCAACGTTGCGCGTTTTGGAACATTTGGAGCCACGGGCCCGGTCCGTACGGGTCGATACCCGCGTCGCTCGGCGCCCACGGAACTTGCCAGCCGATGAAGGCGCGCTCGGGGTGAGGCATCATCGCCAAGTGGCGTCCATCCTTCGAGCACAAACCGGCGATGCCGTGCGGCGAACCGTTCGGGTTGAGCGGGTACTGTTGCGTCGGCGCGCCGTCCGCGTCGACGTAGCGTACGGCCGCCTGACCGTTCTTCAACACATCCGGTAACATGCTTTCATCGGGGAACTTCACCTTGCCCTCTCCGTGGGCGCACCAAACACCCATGCGGGAACCACCCATGCCCTTCAACATCATCGCCGGCGTGTTCTCATCAATGCCCACAGTCGTCCATCGCGACTCAAAGCGACCACTGTCGTTGTGGATGAAGCGTGGCTGCTTGGAGTCCGGAAGCGCACCAACGCCACCTTCAGACGGGATAAAACCTAAGAGCGCCATGAGCTGGCAGCCGTTGCAAATACCGAGAGAGAACGTATTCGGCCTGTCGTAAAAGTCCTGGAACTGTTGCTTCAGAGATGCGTTGTAGCGGATACCTCCCGCCCATCCCTTGGCGCTGTCGAGAACGTCAGCGTACGAGAAGCCTCCTACGAAGACGATACCTTGGAACGCGCTCAGGTTGGCGCGACCGCTGAGGAGATCGCTCATGGTGACATCCCACGCCTCCATGCCCGCAGCCGTGATGGCCGCAGCCATTTCGCGGTCGCCGTTCGAACCCTCCTCGCGAACGATGGCCACCTTGACCTTATCCGCCGCACTCATGATCTCCGGCGGCGTCAGGGTCGGCTTGTACGTCAGTTTCCACGTTGGCGCCTTGCGCGATCTGAGGCCCTCCTTCTCCAAGGCAACGGTGGCGTTCGACGCTTGGAGCTTTTCGAGCTCAAAGCTCATTTCCTCCCACTTGTCGCGAATGTTTGCGGTTGAGTCGCTCACGCACTCGGAACCCGCGGCAGACACTGTACACTTACCGTCGTTGGTGACCTTGCCGATCGCGCGAGCGGTGACACCCACGGAGGCGTAGGCACTCATGACGGCCGCTTCATTTTCAGGGGCGACTTCGAGGACGATGGCGAGCTCCTCGGCAAAGCACGCCGACATTGCGTCGTCTCCTGGAAGAGTTACCTCAACGCCCGCGGTCGTCGACGGGAACGCCATCTCGAGAACGGCTGTTATGAAACCACCGTCCGAAACGTCGTGACCCGCACTAATCTTGCGTTCATCAACGAGCTTTTGCGTGGCGCTCCACGCCTCTCTGAAGTATGAGGTATCGTCCATGTCCGGGCTCTCGTCGCCGACTTGGGCGTACGCCTGCGCCAGTGCAGAACCCCCAACGCGACGTTTACCTTCCTTGCTACCGAATTCGACGAGAACGAGCTTACCCGTGCCCGGAAGCTTCAAATCTGGCGTCACCGTCTTGGTGATATCCGGGCACCCAACGTAGCCAGACATGACAAGAGTACCCGGCGTCTTCACGACTTCGCCGCCAGCCTTGGCAGCCATAGACAAGGAGTCCTTGCCACCATCAATGGCGACCCCGAGCTCCTTCATGGACTGGCACAAGGCTTCGCACGCGTCGTACATGTGCGCACCGTCGCCGCCCAACTTCGCGGCGTACATCCAGTTACCCGAGTATTTGATGTAGTCCATCCCTTGCGTGTTGGCAAAGACCATGTTTGTGAGAGACTCACCGAGCGACATGCGCGCCATCGATCGCGGGTTTACCAACCCCTTGAGCGGTGCTTCACCGATGGCGGTCGCGCCGCCCTTGGTATCGAAGTGTGTTTGCGAAATCACGGCGACGTCAGAGAGAGGCACCTGAAGCGGACCGACGCATTGCTGTTGGGCGACCAAACCAGTCACGGAGCGATCGACCTTAGTCGTCAAGAAACGTTTCGAGCAAACCGACGGCAGGAGAAGCACGCGATCGAGCATAGACGCGATCGTTTCGTCAGCCATCATATCGAACTTGGAGTTGAGCGGTTTGTCGCGCTTGAGGTCGTACTTCTTCTTCGGCACGTCACCCAACACAGCCTCGAGATCGAGATCTTCCGGCGTCGGAGTCCCCGGGGGAGCTTCGGGATCGATAACTGTAATGCGACCGCTGCCGGTGACGCTACCGAGTACGGAGAACAAGCAGCGCTCTCGCGCGCAAATCTTCTCAATGATCGGAAGAGACTCGGGCTTGATTAACATAGCAGAGTTTTCTTGGTACTCCGCACCCCAGATCTCGAGCACACTCATCGTGTTATCACCGAGCTTGACTTCGCGAATGTTCACCTCTCCACCCTTGGGGTAGATGAGTTCTTTGCAGACGTTGCAGTTACCACCAGCGCCTTGGTCGTGAATGCTCAAAATCGGATTCTCGCCCATAAGTTCGACGCACGCCTTGACCACACGGTTGAGCTTGTTCGACATCTCCGCGTCACCACGCTGCACGGCATTGAAATCTAAGCTCGCGTTCGCCTCGTCTTCACCGCCAGCCTTGGACGACGCGGCGCCACCACCCATACCGATGCGGTACGCGGGACCGCCGATCTTGACTACGAGCATGCCAATGTCACCCTCCTGCTTCTCCAGATTGGTGTGATCGATCTGCCCGAAACCGGCGGAGAACATGATCGGTTTGATGTACTCCCGTCGCTCGCCGTTTGGCATGCGCTGACCGAAGGTTCGGCAGAAACCCGCGATGACCGGCTCGCCAAACTTGTTGCCGTAATCGGACGCGCCGTTGGACGCGTCAATCATGATTTGCAACGGCGAGGCGAGGTTGGATGGATACTTCGCATCCATGTCTTCGTGCGGAAGCACCTTCCCGTCCAAGCGCAGGTTACCAGTCATGTAGCCGGCGGTACCAGCGACAAGGGTGGAGCCGCTACCGGTGGCGTGCGTGTCGCGAATGCGACCGCCCGTACCGGTCTCTGCACCCGGGTACGGCGCGACGCCCGAAGGGAAGTTGTGCGTCTCCGCAGTGAGAAGAAGATCGAGGTCAACCTCCTTCTTGACCATGGCCGACGGTTCGCCCGCCTTGGCCGGTCGCAGCGGCGTGTTCACAAAGCCGCGAATGGCGGAGGAGTTGTCCTTGAACTGGATCACGCTGTTGTGCGCTCGATCGCCCTCGATGGTCTCTTTTACCATCTTGAACAGAGACTTCTCGATCTTAACGCCGTCCACGGTGAGCTCACCCGCGAAGAACCAGTGCCGAGAGTGCTCCGAGTTGCTCTGCGCCATGTCGAAGAGCTCGACGTTGGTCGGATCGCGACCGATTTCGTCGCAAAACAGGCGCATGTAAAAGTCGAAGTCCTGGTCGTCAAACGCCAGGCCCATCTCCTTATCCACGCGCTCAAGCGCGGCGCGACCTTCGGTGGTGATCGGAACGGTGTACACCTGCTCCGGCGTCACATTGAGCTCGAAAGTCTTGAGCGGTTCGTCGTACACGCACTCCGTCATGCGGTCGTGCACCGCCTCCGCGAACGCCCGTCGAACTTCTTCATCGATCGTCGTCCCGTCCTTCGCGTACAGCTTAAACCTTCGGCTTCGTTCAAGTCTCGTGACGTTCTCCAACCCACACGACTTGCACACGCTCACCGCGTTCGTGGACCACGCGCTCTGAAACGCCAACCGCGGTCCAACCTCGATCACCGGACTCGCGTCTTCGTGCACCAACGCGCTCGTCTCCCCGAACAGCTCCGGCTCGTACGTCTCGCGCAACAACCACGTCATCGTCTCTCGCGCCGCGTCACTCAGACCGCCCACACACTCGGCGTTGAAGCACTGCTCGCTCGTCGCGCGCTCGACGGCTTCGCGCCCCAGTCGCGCGTTCACCTTCTTCACCAGCGTCGCGCACGCCTCGTCCGAGATGAACGGTCGACGGAAGAACCGTTCGATGGTCTTCGTCCCCGCGGGCGCGCGCACCGCGCGCGTCTTCACGCGAGCGCGACGCGCTCGAACGACCGATCGCGCCGCCGACGGCGCGTCGCCGCGCGGACGATCGATCGCGCCCCGCTTCGCGCGCGCGGGCGTCGCGCGCGCGCGCGCGATCGCGCACGGCATCGAGAAAGCGTCGCGCGACCTCTATCGACGGGCGATCGTCGCGCGGTGCGGTCGCGACGACCGACGGCGTCGTCGTCGACTTTTCAAAATGTGCAACAATGTGCGCGCGCGACAGGTAAACCTAGAGTAGTGCGATAGCTTTAAACCCGCCAGAGTACGAGCCGATGACGCGGAAACGACGTCGAAGACGAACGGTCTCTTTCGAGCGACGATCGCGACGGTCGCGCGCGCACACGGCGTCGCGCGCGTCGGTGATCGGGATCGACACCGCGGTGATACCGTCGTGGAATTTTCCTTCACATCCGGGAGGCGCTCGAGGGGTGGAAAGCGCGGTGCGCGGCGGGGGACGCGCGTGGAATCATGCATCGTCTTCGACACGCGGTGCACGAGGCGTTTAAATCCTCGGTGGAGAATCTCACGCCCGCGCGAACGTCGAGCGCGTACGAATCTCAGGGCGTGCTGTCTCCCGATGAATTCGTGTTGGCCGGCGATGCGTTGGTGCGCGCGTGCCCGACGTGGTCGTGGGCGAGAGGGAGCGACGAAAAGGCGAAGAAGTTTTTGCCCAGGGAGAAGCAGTATCTGGTGACGAGACGCGTGCCGTGCGCGAAGCGGGCGAAGGACATGGAGGCGTACGCGGGGAGCGAAATCGCGCTCGGGGGAGAGGACGAGGGATGGGTAAAAGCTGGTGAGGGGCGCGTCGTGGACGGAGGGGGCGGTGATGGGGAGATACCGGACATCGGAACGTTGACGCTCGACGACGCGTCGAAGAAGACGACGAACGATGAGACGATGAAGATCGATGACATTCCGGAGATTGGTGAGGATTTCGAGGACGAAGACGACGATGCGGTTGTGCTGCCGAGCGCGACTGAGATCGCGCGCGCCGCGGGACGGGTGAATGGAGGGACGGAGGATGACGACATCGTCAAGACGAGGACGTACGATTTGACCATCACGTACGACAAATATTACCAGACCCCGCGCGTGTGGTTGAATGGTTACGACGAGAATAGTTTGGTGCTAAAACCATCCAAGACGCTCGAGGACGTGAGCGCCGAACACGCGCAGAAGACGGTGACGATCGATCCGCACCCGCACACCGGGGTGCCCTCTGCGTCGATTCATCCATGCAAACACTCAAGCGTGATGAAAAAGCTCGTGGAGTCCATGCGCGCGGAGCGTGGGGAATCTCCTAGCGTCGAGACGTACATGTTCGTTTTCCTCAAGTTCATCGCGTCCGTGATTCCTACCGTCGAGTACGATTACACCTTGTAAGCATCATGTTCGTATCATACAAAAAGAATACAGCACTAAAAGCAATGTTCTAAAGCTCGTTGTCTACGTTCTCGAGCTTGACGTATCGAATCGAGTCTGACTGGTTCGGCGTCCCGCGATCTTTCCTGAGCTTATTCACCGTGAACCAGGAGCCGAGGAAGAAGTTTATCAGGCCGATTCCCAAAAATAGACGCCCGCCGCCGAATTTATCGTACACGAGTCCGCCGAGGGTGGATCCCCCGAGACCACCGATGGAGTTCACCGCTCCGAAGAGTCCCATCATCGATGCCGTCAGACCTCTCGGCGCGATATCTTGAATGAAATCGTTCGACGTGCTCCAGTACAGACCGAATGTGATTCCGTGGAGAAACTGCACTGGAAGGACTGCCCACGCGTTGCCAAAGTATGGAAGCGCCCAGTAATACACTTGACGCAGAAAGTACGCGAACGGCGTCAAGATCAAGCACCAGTCGAGTGAGAGTGTCCTCTTGATCCACGATCCGTAATAGAAGATCACGACCTCGGTCACGCACGTGCAGAATAACGCGACGCCCATCAACCAGGGCGTCCCGCCGCACTCGTTTAGCCAAAGGAACAAATAAATATCCGTGATGGCCATCGACGCGCCCGCCATGAGGAACAAGAAGAACTTCATCGCCACCGGCGGCTGCTTGACAACACTCCACAGCTGTCTCGGAATCGACGAAGCTGAAATCGGCGCGTGTAGATCCTCCGCGGACGCCACGCGCGAGAACGTGCCGCTCTCATCCGCCTCGGCGAGTTCCTCCTCGCTCTCCTTCTCTGCGCGCGCATCCGCGTCCCCTTCCGTGCCGTGTTGTAGTTTCGTCGATAATAACGCAGCGGCGAGTAAAATCACAAACCATCCGACGAACGGCGCGCGCTCTCGCGTCTTTGGACTTCCTCTCGTCATTATGGCGCCCATCACGGGCGCCGCGACGAACCCCCAACTCACCGCCCCCCACATGCGTTGTCGCCCGTAAGACGCCGAGCCCTCGTCGTGTTCCCCTAACCCTCTCAGCACGTTCCATCGCCGCACCATGCTCCCGCTCGCCGCGTCCGCGAGCGATGTACTCGGACTCGACAGGCACTCCGCGAAGACGACGTAAAACCAAATCGTCGGCCACGCGTGACTCACGTTGATCAGGTGCCCGTACGTCGACGCTTGGCACACCAGGCACACGAAGTGTATCGCATTGTGCTTTTTCGTCGCGTCCGCGATGCCGTTCCACAGTGGTACCGCGATGAAGCCGATGACGAAGCGAATCGCGCCCATGGCTCCAACATGCGTCGCGCTGAGCCCCCATTGGGCGTAGAGCAACGGAAGAAAGGGAATGAGACACGCGAGACCAAGGGAGTAAACGAAGTAAAACGTCTTGCACACGAGAAGGTCGGGCGGGGGACGACCAGGGGTAGAGAAGGGATCGGGCGCGGACATGAACCCAGACCCCGCGCGTCGGCGAGTGAGGCGGAGAGTAAGCAAATCTGTCGTGTCGTTGTTAAAAGTGGCTATCACGCGTTCGCATTGCCCTCGGCGTCGACCTCACCGGCCTCGGGCATGGCGGTATCGTCTTGTTGTTGGTTGCGTTGCGAAACGTACTCGATGGTTTCAGAGATGAGTTGCTTCGCTCGCTCAACCTTCTCCGCGGGTCCTCGAACGTTGACAACTTCCTTTTCGCGGTCGACCTCGAAGAAACAACGGACTTCGCGTTTGATTTGGCTGATACGCGCCCCGCCCTTGCCGATGATAGCGCCGACGAATCCGGCGATCTCGACTGTTGCCTCGACGTCGTGCGCTCTGGCGGCCTGAGCCTGTGCGTCTCGCCACTCCTTAACCGCGTTTGTGGTCTCGATCACCTCGCGCACGAGGGCGAGTCCTTGACCGACACTCTCGGGTGGACCCTTGAAGACGGCGATCTCGTCCTCCTTATTGATCTGCATGGGAATCCCGATGCGTTGTTGAATATCGGTGTGCATGCGACCCTCTCTGCCGATGATGAGACCAACGTAGTTGGCGATGCTCACGCTCTGTTCGACGTTTCCTCGCTCGTCCATGTTCGAGTCGTCGACGTACTCGGCAGGAAACTCCTTAAAGACGCCCGCCTCTTTCGCCTGCGAACGGAGATAGTCGAGCAACGATTCAGAGCGAGCGCGCTTGTCTCCGCCGCCGCTGCCGTGGTCGTCTCGTTGACGCTTGCCGGAGAGTCTATCGAGAATCGAGCTGCGCCCATCGTCCCTAGACCCCTCTTCACGGCGCTTCGGCTGTCGCTCAAGTCGGGCGATAATCATATCTCTGGCCCGTTGCACCGCGTCCGGATGTCCGGTGATCTCAACCGTAGTCTTATCTGTCAGGCACTTCACGTAAGCCCCGGACTCGTGCTCAATGCGCTTTATCGTCTCACCCTTGGGACCGACGATGAGACCGTTGTTGCCCTTGGTGTCCATCACGTATGGTTCTTCCCGTCGATCATCTCTCGGCGGTCCACGCGAATCGTACGAGTCTCTTCGCGGCGGTCCTCGGTCGTCGTAGTACTCCCGAGGCGGTCCTCGCGGCGGTGAGCGCGGCGGGTAATATCCGCGATCACGCGGTGGTTCTCGTCCTCGATCATCATAATACTCCCGCGGCGGGCCGCGAGCGTATCGATCGTCGTAGTACCCGCCTCGTGAGTCGTAATCGTCCCGCGGCGCCCCGCGACCCCACGAATCGTAATATTCCCGCGGCGGCGGCGGTCCCCACCTATCACCCCGAGGATCATCTCTCGGCGGCGGCGGTCCCCACCTATCATCCCGGCGATCCTCCCGCGGCGGCGGCGGTCCCCACCTGTCGCCTCTACGGTCGTCTCGTCGATCCCATCCTCCGCTCGGCGGCGGCGGCGCCCTGCGATCGTCTCTCGGCGGTCCCCATCGATCCGCACCACCGCGTTCTCTGTCATCGCGTCGCTCCTCTCTCGGACCCGACCCTCGTCCACCGCCACGTCCTCCGTTTCCCCATCGTCCACCACCGCGTCCACCGCGTCCACCGCTCTCTCGTCCTCGTCCTCCGCCTCCGTCGCTCGCGTTTCGCTCCGACGCGCGTTCGTTGCCCCCCTCTCGCTCCTTCGCGTTCATCGCCCACGCGCCGTCCTCGCCGTGATCACCATCATTACCATCGTCACGGATCGGGGAGTCCATGCGCAGGAGCTCCTCCGCCGCGGACATGACGCGCGAGAAACGGATCGATGGAGAATTCGCAGATCTCGACCGATGCGATCGATGTCTTCACCGTCGCCGAGCGCGTCGCCGAACGCGTCGAGCGCACTCGTGCGCGCGAACGAACGCGCGTTGAGCGACGCGGCGGCGACGCGGGACGGAACGACGCGAGCGCGTTGAATTGTGGAGGATGGCGGCGCGTGATGAGGAATTAGGGCGCGAGTGGACGCGGCGGGCGGACGGAGCGACGCGGCGGCGGAACGGGTCGATTCGATCTCGGTGATGGGCGTGGACGATGGACGCGCGGAAGATTCGTGTAATCGAATTGAATGAATTGTTACATCGGCACCGGAACGTGCGGGGGAGCGTGCGGCGCGCGCGTTATTCGCCGCCGCCCTTGTTCGGATCGACTTTGAGGACGGCGAGGAAGGCTTCTTGAGGAACCTCAACCTTACCGAACTGCTTCATGCGCTTCTTACCCGCGGCTTGCTTCTTTAATAATTTCTTCTTGCGCGAGATGTCGCCGCCGTAACACTTGGCGAGGACGTCCTTGCGCATGGCGGAGATGGACGAAGAGGCGATGACTTTATTCCCGATGGCGGCTTGAATGGGAATGCGAAACATCTGTCTCGGGATCAACAGTTTGAGCTGATCGACGAGTTGACGTCCGATGGAGTATGCCTTGCTTCTGTGCGTGATCACAGCGAGCGGGTCGGCGGGTTCCTGGTTGATGAGGACGTCCAGACGCACGAGGTCGCTCTCGCGATAGCCCGTCATGGAGTACTCCATCGAGGCGTAGCCGCGCGAGCGCGACTTCATCTCGTCGAAATAGTTCGTGACGACCTCAGCGAGCGGGATATCGAACTTGATTGACGTCCGCGATTGCGAAAGATACGTCATGTCGATGAACTCACCACGACGCTGCGTCGCGAGCTCCATGAGCGTGCCGACGTAGTCGCTCGGAGCGATCATGTCCAGACGGCAGTATGGCTCCTCGATGCGGTCGCGAAGCTCCGGTTCCGCGAGTTCCGCGGGGTTAGAGATGGATTCCATCGTGCCGTCTGTTCTGTACACGTGATACACCACCGATGGTGAGGTGGTGATGAGGTCTAAATCGTACTCGCGCTCGAGACGCTCCTGGATGATCTCCATGTGCAGCAAGCCGAGGAAACCGCATCGGAAACCGGTGCCCATGGCGCTGCTCTGTTCCGGTTCAAACGACAGCGACGCGTCGTTTATCTGCAATCGACCGAGAGACTCTCGCAGATCGTCGTAACGATCGGTGTCTACCGGAAAAATACCCGCAAACACCATCGGCGTCGCCTGAGAGTAGCCCGGAAGCGCCTCCTTGGCGGCGTTCTTTTGCGTCGTGATCGTATCCCCGACGCGAGCGTCCGCGACAGATTTGATGCCACCGATGATGTAACCAACCTCACCCGGGCCAAGTTCCTGCACCGGCACCTTATCCGGACGCATGACCCCGATCTCATCCGCGAAGAACTGCGCCCCGGTGGCCATCATCTTCATCGCGTCCCCCGTCTTCACCGTCCCATCCATGACTCGAAACACCGCCACGACGCCTCGATACGGGTCAAAGTATGAATCGAAAACGAGCGCACGAAACGGTTCATCGGGCGTATCTCGCGGCGGTGGCACGATCTCGACTATGCGCTCGAGAATCTCATCCATGCCGATGTTCGCCTTCGCGCTCGCCAAAATCGCGTCGCTCGCGTCCAAACCCAAAACGTCCTCAATCTCCTGCTTCACCCGATCTGGCTCGCTCCCCGGAAGATCAATCTTATTCAGTACGGTAAAAATCTCCAAATCGTTCTCCAAAGCCAGGTACACGTTCGCCACCGTCTGCGCCTCCACCCCTTGACTCGAGTCCACGACCAGGAGCGCCCCCTCGCACGCCGCCAACGACCTCGACACCTCGTACGTAAAATCCACGTGTCCCGGCGTATCGATCAAATTCAGCACGTACAACTCCCCGTCCCGCGCCACGTAATCCATTCGCGCGCTGTTCAGCTTGATCGTGATCCCCCGCTCCCGTTCGAGTTCCATCGAGTCCAAAACCTGCGCCTTCATGT